GCCAGGTATTCTTTACACACAGTATCTCATTTTAGCCTTATAACAAATCCATGAGATTAAGTATTGTTATTGTCCCTCTTTTAGAGATGAGAAAACAGGCGCAGGGAGCTAAAGAACTTGCTCAAGATCAAACCATTAGGGGAGGCAGAGCAGGATGCAAATGCAGGATCTGAGACGAGCCCTTGGTGCTACTTTGTAGTTAGCCATAGTTCAGCCAGCAAAAATCAGTTGTCTAAAGTAACTACATAACAAATATGAGACCAAACTTATATTTGTATCTATACTCGTCAAGAGATAGTCTTAACTAACAACCTTTGTTTTAATTTCCAAGTGGCTTTACTCATGTCAGCTTTAAAGCCAACTTCATGTCAAAGGAATTAATTACTCTAACAACTAAGTCTGGGGCAGGGGCCATTAAGTTTTGCCAAATTCCGAGGATGCTAGAGGTTGGCTGAGGGGACTTTGGAAAGGACCTGGCTACATTATAATTTATTGGCACCAGTCTTGCCTCATTCTTCTAGTCCTATCTTCTTCTACAGCCCTCATCTACCACTGTCCTAGCCTGAATAATGTCCCCCAAAGATATCAGGTCCTAACCCCTAGAACTTGTGAATGTGACCTTACTTTGAAAAAGGGTCTTTGCAGATGTAATTAATTAAGGATCTTGAGATGAAGAGCTCATCCTAGATTATTCACGTAGGCCCTAAATGCTTGCTATCACATTTATCCTTATAAGAGGGATATTTCACACACACACACACACACACACACACACACACACACACACACATACACGGTGATGTGAAGATGGAGGCAGAAATTGTAGTGATGTGGCCACAAGCCAAAGGATGCCTGCAGCTACAGAAGCTGGAAGAGACAAGGAAAGGACTCATCCCTAGAGCTTCCGGAATAAGTGTGGCCCTACTTACATCTTGATTTTGGCACAGTGATACTGATTTCAGACTTCTGGCCTCCAGAGCTGTGAGAGAAAAAAATGTGTGTCGTTTTAAGTCATCCAGTTTGTGGTCATCTGTTACTGCAGCCACAGGATACTAATATAACTGCTATCCCCTGCTGAGACCTTATGTTCCAGCTTTGAAGGGGAAACTGAACTCCTATTTCAGTGTGTGGTTTTATCAGGCACATGGGCATCTGGACTACAGTTCAGGATTCTCCTCAGTGAGTAACATCAGCACAGAGAATCACTGGTGTCGTGTGTGTCAGAAGGCACTTCCTAAGCCATTTGTCCCTCTTTAGCTCTTGCCTGCTGCTGTTGCTGCCGCCCTAGTTCACCCCACCTGTGCAAGCATCCCATGATCTTTGAAGATCCAGGGAGTCACTATGCCCTTCTAATGGATGGGACAGGACATGTTTCAAATGTCCCTGAGGCAGCGCGTACAGAGGTGAACAGCAATGTGGTTGTGGAACTCTGCATACCTTTTGCTTTAGGCTCACGTAACAGATGAACATTTCCCCCATGCCTTTTGGCTGCCCTAGAACCTCTGCACACTCTCCCTAGGTTAGAACTGTGTACATTTCCCTCGCTGGGCAGAAGGCAGAAACTTGCTTTCTTAGACTTACTTGCACCCAGGGTGTGGGTATGTAACGATGCTCCCGTGAAAGACTTGGAAAAGAGTAAAGTCAGAGGCACGGCACAGAATCCATTCTAGCGAGAATGGCAGAGTCTGAAGGAGTGACTTCCAGCCTTCAGGATAGCAGTGGCAGAGGTTGTAGTGGGAGTGGCCTATGCCCAGCATTGGCCACGTGAGCTGCGGTGCTCATGCCCAGCAGTGGCAGCTGTTTGGGCACAGTTCAGACTTACAAGCTTGATTCTCTCACCATCCTAGCACTTTCTGTGACCTCCTCTGTTACCCCTCAATGCATTCCCTTTTGTTTAAACAATCAGATTGGATGTTGTTTGCAACAAACAACCTACCTGATGCACCTGCTGTGTGCTTCTGTATGACCATCTCACGGCGTGGTTGCTTCAGGAAGAAAACAGGCTTGGCGGGCAGTCTGTGGGACTTGGTTATCCTGATGCCTTACTTCTTGTAATCAAGCTTTCTATAGCCTATCAGGGGGTAAATGGTAGCCTACGGCAGACAGGTATCTGGGATTTTGAGAGCCTGCGCAGATCAGCTTTTAAGGTTAGCAGGTTTCAGCAGGGAACTCAAAAGTGCATGTTGGCCCTTATTCACTTGCTGGCCCAGCCAAGCACACTGTAGAACATGAGAGCCTCACTCTGTTCAGCAGCCCACTCACAGGTGGCAGGACTTCTCCAAACAAGCCCTAGAATGGCATCAGGAACGTGGATTTCTTCAGCTGAACTTATTTCTCTTTTTTTTTTTTTTTTTAGCTGAGCCATCCTGCTACCTGTTGGCAGCTCAGCGGCTGCTCAGCTCGGGCTGGACTCGAACCGCTGTTGCTCAGAGCTCAAACTCTTGAGCGAGCTCTTAACCAACTGAGCCACTCGGCCGGCCCATGAACTTATTTCTCAATCCACACAACTTATCTCTTTATTAAATGCTGTTGATATCATGTTCTAGTTGTTTCCTGAGGACCTAACGAGACAAAAACCTCTTCAAGGGCAGAACCCCATCTCCAACTTTTTGTGGCCCTCTGGGGTGCCTGGCTCAGAGTCATACACTGTGTGCTGCTGGACGTAAGAGCATGAGGGGTGAGAAGCAGACTTCATTTCACCCTTTCAGTTCGTTATCACACTCTGAAGAATGAGGAAGTGATGACGTCAGTGAGCATAAGCTTCTTGCTGCTTCTGTATTCTCAGTGGAGTGGTGAACTTTTTCCTGAAACCAGAGCTCCAGGGCTGACCCTTCAGGCTACCTTTCACCCTCACACTGTCACACAGACCTGAATATACCACTGGGTTAAAAAACTGTTGTGTAAGGGCCAACTTTTTTTCTTTTCTTTTTTTTATGGACAAGGACCATGAAAGATCAGGAGCAATCTCAGTCCTTTTTTTTTTTTTTCAATTTTTTTTTTAATTGGTGAACAGCCGTGGTCATTGGTTACACATTGCTTTCATGCTACAATGGCATAGTTGACTCTCTTAAGGAGGGTACAGCTTACAGTGGCCCATTTGGGGATTGAACCAGCAACCTTGGTGTTATCAGCACCAACCTCTAACCAACTGAGCTAATCAGTCACCCAAAGGCCAACTTTTAATTGCTGATCCATTCACAATTAGTGGTTACAGTAAAAAAATATACTTGAAAGCATTGATCAGGGTTTATTCTCATTATAAAAAATTTTGTACTTTTTATTTGTGTTGAACGCAAACAGATGGACTTTCTGGTGCATGGAAATTATCGCTTTTTCAGTGCCACCTGTTACTCACTTTACCCAAGTTGGTGGGACAATTGTGGTTTGCTTAGTTCCTCATTTTCCACTCAATCTATGTATTCAAAAATTATAGAATTACATAAATTATAGAATACAGTTGGAATTCCACAATTATATATAGTTTCAACTATGTAGGATAAATATGGTGCCTTCAGGAAGATTTAATTTCAATTCACTTCTTTCCTAGATTGAAAACTACAATTTTTCAATTTATTTCACCCTGGACCTCATTTTCTATCTCTAAGAAAAGGAGAGTTAAATGCTTATTCCTATGAGATAGTATTTTTCTTTTCACATTCTAGGAACTCAGTTAGCTTTAGCCCTGAATCACCTGGCTGGTAGTTTAAATATCAGTTCACTGCAAATAGGTCTAAATTTCCATCCCATTTCCACTGTACTGAATGTAATTTTTATCCTTGCTTGCTAGCCTTCTTGTGGTGTTCCCCCAGCCCCATCCTGAACAATTATATTTCCTTGTAGGCAGTGGCTTCCATGATAAAGCAATATATCGTTCCAACAGAGAGGCTCTGGATTTATTTCTTTATTAGCTGGTAAACCAAGAACATTATAATGCGCAGGGTGAATATATTAAGAGCTGCATGTGGGACTGTTAATCTGACAGGGCCTCACACAAGTGCAATGAATTATTACTCCTGTCAGCCGTTCGAAACATAACTGCATCCACCGAGAAGAACATAACCCTTTAACCCCATTTGGTTAAGATAGTTACTTCTCTGCCCTGTCTCAGCCACCATTCTATCTTTTAGAATAGTGACTTTCAAGCTTTTCTGAGCCCAACTCAAATACATTTCACATCACACACACACACACAGAGAAATATAAAACTTAGCTTAACAAAACCATATTTACTCTTACTACTTGTGATAAATGCTGATAATTCCCTACTCTGTTGTAATTTATAAAGGAATGGACAGATGCTCACTAAGTCGACTTCAAATACTACTAATGGGTCTCGAACCACAATCCAAAAAAACACAATTTTAAAAGCTATTCCTCAGATATTCAAATAGTAAATCAGACACATCTTTATTTTCTCAATGCTTGCTATTCCTTCTGAGATTTACTTCTATATTTCTAAATAATATGAATATACTCCCATTTCTGATTTTGGCTTTTAAAGTGGATATAATCCATTTTCCTCTCATGGAAAATGAGGCTTTAGCTCCCTTCCATGTACCGTCTTCAAATACACATGTATTTTCCCTCCTTACCTCCCAATATATCATGGGCTTTTTATTAAGTCAACATTCATTGTTTACATGATCATGGTTGTGTGTATCAGTTAGAGTCCTAGCAAGAAGCAGATGGTACATTCAAATTCGGTAATTTGAGAAGAGTTTGATAAAGGACCATTTGTAAAAGTATGGGCCAGGTATAGTGAAACCGCTAGAGATAGAGCTGGTAAAACTGTGGGGCTCCATTACCACTCATAGGCCCCAAAGAACCTGGAGATCAAGAGCTGTCTAGATAGAGCCGCCTGATCGCTGCTGTAACCTTTGTGAAGGCACACAACCAGCCTGAAATGACCATGCAAGGAAGACAGCCAGAAACAATATACCTCCACCAGTCCTCCTACCTCCCTCTGCTCTCCTGCTGGAACTCTCCAAGGCAGAACCCACCTGGAAGCCAGAGGACCGCAACCAGTAGGTGAAGTCCGTCTAGTTCTGCCTCCTGGGCACAGAGCGGGTGAAGCGCAGATGGACCTGAAGGCAAAGAGAACATCGGTGGCACGTTATGTAACTCGTATGTGATCACAGCTGAGCACATTTCATGTTCTTTCCTCTCTTGAATAACACTTATTTGCCTTGGAGCTAACTGGCTCTTTTCCTTAAAAACATTTTTTTTAATTTCTTTTTTTTTTAATTTTATTGGGGAATTGGGGGGATGGGAACAGTGCTGGGGAATCGGGGGAAGGGGAACAGACAAGTTTCTGTCCTTTTGTTCTTCAGTCTAGTTGTGGAGGGTGTCGCTTTACTGGCCCATGTTGATATTGTGATCATTGCTCTCTTCCCAGGTGAGGCAGATCAGTCGCCGGCCATTGGATGGCTGCTCACGGCGGCTCATGGAAGCTCACGCCAGCTGCTGGTTGCTCAAGCTGGCTGCCAGCCACACATGGTAGGTAGCTCATGGCACCCCACTGCAGCAGGGGCTGCAGCCTACGCCTTTCCCAACGATTGAGGCAGCCCAGCTCCAGGTTGAGCTGTTGTTCACCATCTTAGCTGTAGAGGGCGTAGTGTCACTGGCCCTCATGTGGGATGCGAACTGGAGCCCTGCTACTCAGAGCTGGCGTCCCAAGCCAACTCTTTTTTTATTTTTTATTTTTTAAAGATTTTTATTGGGGAATTGGGGGATAGGAACAGCGCTGGGGAATTGGGGGAAGGGGAACAGACAAGTTGTTGTCCTTTTTGTTCTTCAGTCTAATTGTGGAGCATGTTGCTTCACTGGCCCAAGTTGGCACCATCATTGCGCTCTTCCCGGGTGAGGCAGATCAGTCGCCTGGCTTCTGGACGGCCACTCACAGCAGCTGCTGGCCGCTCATGCTGGCTGCTGGCTACACACGGTAGCTTATGGCAACCCACTGCAGCAGGGGCTGCAGCCTACGCTGTCGCCGGCGACTCACGGCAGCCCAGCTCCAGGTTGAGCTGCTGTTCAGCATCTTAGCTGTAGAGGGCAGTGTCACTGGCCCTCATATGTGGGATCCAAACCGGGGCCCTCTGGCATCCCAAGCCAGCTCTTAACCAACACACCACTCGGCCGGCCCCCAGGCCAACTCTTAATCAACGTGCCACTCGGCCAGCCCATTTTTTTTTATTTCTTATGCTTTAAATCTACTGTTTATTATCACTAAGGTTATCCAAACTCCTAAATAGTCAATCAGTTCTACAAAGCTAATCATGAAGAAAAAGAACAGTCCTATGCACCCCATTGCCTCCATTTCCCACTCCTCAAAAGCAAATCGTTGCTTTTGAAGGCAAAGAGCAACCATTTGCTTTTCTCTTAAGTGTTTCTTTTGTTTTCTCCCTTCATAGTATTAAATAACATGCTTATAGTGACAGCTCTTGCCTTGTGAAGTGCAGGCATTATCTATTGATGTCTCTATTTGAAAAATGAAGATTTTTGCCCTATCACTAATTACATCCCTCCTTGCTTACCACATACAGCCACTTTCCATTTCCCAATCCTCCCAATATAGATATATCATAATTTGGCTCAACCAATAGTCATTATTTATATTATTATGATTATGTAAAGGTAATTGATGGCTAAGCTGTGTAGTACCCCATGATTACTTTTCCTTGCTCACTCAACTTTTTCTTTTTCCTGGAATTAAATTACGTTTTCCTAGTTTTCTCATTTGTGTCTTTTCCTATACATTTATAATGAACTCATCCCCCAAATCTCCCTTTATTGTCTAAATCTCCTTTCAATATGTTCAAATTCATCAATTACTCCATCAATTTCATTGTCTTGAAGAACTCTTTCCTGGAGATATCTGACCTGTACCAATCTATATCCATCGCTCTGTACTCCTCCGGCTCAACTGCTGTCTTGGAGTTTCCTTTTATTATTACCCTGCGAGCTCCTGTCATCTCTCTCTTGAGTTACATCCCCTGTTTCCTGGTTCCCACATCTTTCTCTTTCTTGGTTCTATGCCTTATTTTGATGGAACAGTTCCAGTAGCTTTTGAGAATTGAGTGCATGGGATGTAAATTTTTTGAGACTTTGCGTATCTGAAAATGTCTTTAAATCTATCCTCACATTAATTGATTGTTCTGCAGGTATAGAATTCTAGGTTGGAATTCATTTTCCTTGGCATCCTGAAGGCTTAATTATCTTTTAGGTCCCAAGTGTTACTATGGAGAAATTCAGACCCATTTTGATTACATGACCCTATGTTAACTCATTTTTTTCTGAAATAAATAAGAAAATTTATTATCTCATATAGCAAGAAGTCTAAAAGTAAGGAAGTTTCAGGGTTGGTTAGTTCATCAATGGCCTAGGCTCTTTCCAGCTTTATGCTCTTCCAACATCAGCTTGTTGGCTTTCCTAGGCTGTCTCCCCTCATGGTCATAGGATGGCTGCCATATTTCCAGGCATCGCACTCAGTCACTGCAATACGGAGTAGCAGAAGAGAGTCATCTCTTTGTTTTGTGTCTTTTTAAAAGTGAGAAAACCTTTCCTAGAAATTGCTCACTGACTTCCCTTCCCACATCTTTGGCCAGAGCTGGATCACAGCCTGCCTTTAATTCAACCACTGACAAAAGGGAATAGATCAGCCTGATTGACTTGGACAGTCACGCTGGAGATAAGGTCCCTTTTCCTGAGGAATAGATATCTAAACAAAATTTGGATTCTGTTAACAGGTAAGGGGTGGGATGGATGTGGCTAGGTGGGATAGCTGACATATAGTAAGCACTAAATATATGTTAGCTATTGTCGTGATTAACTTTTTTTTCAAAAGGTTTTATTGGGGAATTGGGGGAGGGGAACAGCACTGGAGAATTGGGCAAGGGGAACAGACAAGTTGCTGTCCTTTTGTTCTTCAGTCTAGTTGTGGAGGACGTTGCTTCACTGGTCCATGTTGGTATTATCATTGCGCTCTTCCCGGGTGAGGCAGATTGGTCACCAGCCTCTGAACGGCCGCTCACAGCGGCTCTTGGCAGCTCACACCAGCTGCCGGCCGCTCACACTGGCAGCCTACGCTGTCTCCAGTGACTCACAGCAGCCCAGCTCCAGGTTGAGCTGTTGTTCACCATCTTAGCTGTAGAGGGCGCAGCGTCACTGGCCCTCATGTGGGATCCGAACTGGGGCCCTGCTGCTCAGAGCTGACGTCCCGAGCCAACTCTTAACCAACACACCACTCGGCCGGCCCCGTGATTAACTCTTAACAGCTGTGTGAACTTAGTCAAGTCACATACCTCCTAGAGTTCCAATCGCCTCATTATTTAAAAATGGGCATAGGATGATCTGATTTGTTGGATGGTTATTGAATTAAGAGAGATGACAAATGTAAAGTCTTTGGTGCTTAATAAATGATAGCTATTTATTATAGTTGCATATAATTATTGTCAGAGTACTTGGGCAGCAGGTTGAGGTTCTAACAGAGGTTCCTGAGGTTGGCCCAGGCCTGGTGTAACTAATTTTTTTTCCTGCAGCTCACAGAATCTTTCTGTTGCACCTTGTGTTCTAAAGTTTCATGATTATGGGCCTTGTTATAGTTGTTTTTTTCTGAGCTCATACACTGAGTCAGTTCAATCTGGAAATGTATCCTTCAAGTCAAAAAAGTTTTCTTGAATTATTTCTTTGATGATTTCGCCCTTCTATTTTCCATGTGTTCTTACTCTGGAACTCATATTATTCACATGTTGGAATTCCTGACTGACTCAATGATTTTATTATCTTTTATCTCCCATTTCCATATTTTTATCTTTTTGCTCCACATTCTGGGAGATTTCCTCAACTTTAATTTCCAACCCTCCGCTTGAGTTTTTCACTTTAGATATCCTATTTTTAATTTCTAAAAATTCTTTTCTATTCTCTAAATCTTTTATTTTTATTTGGTTGCAATGTCTTCTCTTATTCTCAGAAAATATTAAATACCAAAGATGATAATGCTCAGCATAGTCTATGTTTCTTCCAAGTTCTTTTTTTCTATGTATTTTGGACTCTGTCTTGCATGTTAAAGTTTCCTGAGATGTCTGGTAATCCTAGGCTATCTGTTCACACTTAATATTATAACACAAAAACCTGATTAGAAGAGAGCTTGGTGGGGGTTACTGATTATAGATTTCACTGTAATCTATTTAGTCTATTATACTGACATCAGGATATTTAGGTCTTTGGTCTCGGCCTGTCAGATTCTCAGAGAAGAAGCTTCCAATACGCTACCTGGAGAATATATATCTGACTTTCAGTGGAGGTCATTTGGGAGAATAGGACTAAGGTCCTGATATTCAGTAAGCCTTCACTTAATCGCTATTTTCAATATAGGATCCCACCTTCAATAGCGCTTAATGTCTCCCAGTCCAGAGACCCTCTACTCACCAGAAAATACACCTCAGTGTTCAGGTGGTCCGGAAGGAACAGCAGTTGCCATGCTGAGGTTGGAGATTTGAGTTTAAACTTGCTTCTAATACCAATACTGCCATTTATTATGTTATTCTCTCCCAGCTCTAAGCCCAACTCTTCTGTAGTCACCTTTGCAACATTGGGGTTGGGACTCTGAAAACCGCAGTCATTTTGCCAGCTGTTCCCTGTTAGGCTCTGCCCATAGAGGGCAACAGAGGGAAACTGGAAGGCTGGGGAAGAAGGAAGGACAAGCTACTTCCTGTTTTCTTTCTATTGCTGTGAGCAGCATCCAGCAATACTTCACTTCAGCAGCAGGTCCTTCCTGCAGCAACAGTTGAAGTTGGTTTGCAGTTTTTCCAACACTCATAGAAGCAGCTGCATCATGCCCTCACACCAGAGACACCAGCACCAGCTGAGCAGCACCCCCTTCTCAGCGGTCTGGGTCCCCGCCCCATGGGCCCCTCCTCCAGGCTTCTAGGTTCTAATAATTCCATCCTTTTTCCTTTTCCCCTCAGCCCTGGGAGTCCAACCTTAGAGTTCTCTTTTTACCCTTTCAGTTACCTAGTTAACAACTTTCTGCCTAGTTAACAATTCTCTATATTAAATTCCTTCTGTTGAACTAATTGGTGTGATT